CTCTTCTCCTGCCTCAGCCTCTTGAATAGCTGGCATGTGCCACCACACCTGGCTAATTTTGTATTTTTAGTAGAGATAGGATTTCTCCATGTTGGTCAGGCTGGACTTGAACTCCCAACCTCAGGTGATCTGCTCACCTCAGCCTCCCAAAGTGCTGAGATTACAGGCATGAGCCACTGCACCCAGCCTAAAAGCTCTGATTTCAAAAAAAATTTTTTGGTCAGAACATGTGACTCTTTATTAATTTCCTTTTTGCCTTGAAAGAGCAAAGAAAGTTAAGTCAATTAAAATTGATGTTCTAGAAGAAATTTCATAAATCACCTGTTATAATTTGTTGCTATAATGTTAATCACTTACAATTCATTTTATCTGAGATGTTTGCTACCTGGAACTGACATATGGGCAAAAATTATCAGGTGTTTATAGACTCTAAGAAGAGCTGGAAAGACTAATTTTATATCTCCATTTAAATGATCAGTGTTCAGGGTAAGGAATATGGTGCTATTCAGGTGGTTTTTCTCTTCCAACTTACTGTCACATTCCAAGCTGTGAGCCCTTTTATTTTGTGGTATATCTACCATGAAAGGATAAGTAAAACACAGAAAATAGGTGTTGACAGGAGACAGGGTAGATGTTTATAACTTGATTTGGCTCAGTAAACATTTATTGATCATCTTGCAATATGTGTTAAAAATATTCAAATGACACTTGTTAAAGCACTGTAAGGCAAACTTTATTTAAGGTGAGGGTGGGTCTATTGTAGTTGATATGGGGACCACTGTGACAGAAATTTACAGTAGTAGAGAGAGTTTGGGCTCAACTCAATATAGCATGGACAAGTAGGAATTTATAGGCAATGAGCAAGGTGTGGTGGGTTGGGGGGGTGTCAGTGGATGGAAAATTACTAAGAGAAAACACCATGAATAAGGAGGAATTCTGGCTAAATAGACCTAATAGGATTCTTTCTGAAGACAGGCCAGGGTGATGAGACATCACCTGGGGGATGGTGGAGGATGAAGAACCTGATGAGCTATTGATAGTAATCAAATATTGTGGGCAGGGGGTTCTGACTAAACTGATTTAGTGGGATTCTTGCTAAAACTGGATTTTACAAGAAAGTGCACAGGTGGGCCAGGGAGAAGGTTCAGGAACCTGACTAGATTTTGGTCAAACAAAGAGTCTTTGTCATATGTATCAATTATTAATTGACATAATTCTGTATTAACAAAGGTCATTGATTTATAAAAAGCATTTATTTAGCAGTCAAGATTATGGGTTGGTGGGTGATTTTGATTGGCTAGTTGTTGTGATCTTTGGTAAGATCTCTCAATAGGAGTTGAGGACCAAGTGACTATGGAAGGTAAATTTGAACTCTATTTGAACATGATGCATTGGAATGATGGATGGAAGTAGTCAGAAAATTTTGGCATGTGGGAGCATAGATTAAAGAATTTACTATGGCTAACCTTAATCTTTTGCTTTACTTGGCAAAAATCAGAAGTTTTTTAAAATAGAGTTTTATAATGCCAATCACCTGAATGCCAATAACCTTAATTAATGTTAAACTGTTTTTTCATATGCAACTGCAAATTCTGAAAGACCTACTCAAAGTGGAGGGTCAACTAATATTTGACTTTTCATGAATCCTTTGAGATTCCTCTTTTTTTTTTTTAATTGGGTAGGTTACTTTGTTTTTCCTTGGTCACTTTTGCTGTCATCAGTTGGTGAGAACATCCAAAGATTACAATATTTTAGACCTGAAATGGACCCTGAGACCATTTGTTCCAACATTCATTGATAAAGGAAGGAAGTGAAGCTCATGTAGATTTATTTTAAATCATGTGACAAGTTAGATGGGAGCAAAGGAATAGAACCCTGGACCCTTAGTTCTCATTCTGTTGGTTTCACCAGTGGTCTGGTTTTGTTATTGACATGTTGTCTGGTTTTGTTGTTGACGTGTTGTCTGGCTTTGCAAGGAAAAGAATGGAGAACTTGATTGGAATTGGAAAAAATTAGTAATAGCATTTACATAGTAAATGGTATTTTGAAGACAATTTTAGGTACTTTATCTTATAGTTGAAATGAATAGCTGAGAGAATCTGCTGTCATATTTAAGTATTATTTCCAGTTTTGAGGTCTCCTCCTTTAGAAAAAAGAAATTATAATGTTCTTCCTCATGAAATTGTTATAAGTGGTGAACAAGTTACTACACTTATTAGTGTCTGGCACATATTAGTTTTTTATTGTTGCTGTTAGTAGTATTGTTATTGAGTGTTGTTATTTGTTTCTACTTTATAGATTATGTGTATTGGACTGTGTGGAAAGTTTCACTGTACATTTTTGGTTTGGGTGGGGGAAGAAGAAAAGATGCAGAGAATTTAGCCCTTAGAGTGCTCCCTGTCTGAGCTTAGGGATCTCAGCCTCTGACCTAGTGTTTACCAAAAAAGACGGTCAGATTATTTTGACTTACTTCTCATTTACTGTTGGTCAACAACTAGAAATAGAAATCTTGAAGAGATCCTCTTTTTTTTTATCCACTGCTCCCTTTACCAATTTAGGCTTTCATTACTTTGGGATGTTACATTGTAACACTAGATTATTTGGTGCCTTCAGCTTCTTGAGGAAATGGGATTTATCCAAGAATTTCTAAACCAGGGGACACTTTACAAATATGACTCAGTGAAATAGCCATCATAGCAAGCTTTCAGCGAAACAAAATATGGAGAAATCACCTAAGTTTAACATTGCAAAAATATCCTAAACTTTGCGGTTTGTTATTCTATAGAAAGGAAAACCACTGCTAATTTTCCACTATGTTAAAATAAACAAGCAACAGAGGCAACTTGAGAAAGGAAGTTTCCAGAAGCAGATCACCCCAGAAAGTGCCTTTTTATTCCGAAGTATGGCATCTCCAGCCTTCCCCAGCACCGTTTTCATTTCCACTCAACCATTCTCTTTGCCTTTCTGCTGTCATTGATACATCCTGAAAAGGAACAACAGAAATAACAAGGGTTGGTCATGGTTGAGTTGGCCTGAAAATAGTAGACTAGAGGCAGAGCTGAGAGAATGAGCAGGGCTTTCTTTACCTTTTAGGACCACAGATCCAGTGGACACTGAATATCAAAGTCAAGGACTTTCCCTCAGAAAAATACACACAAAATCTCGTGTACAGTTTCAGGAAGGAGTAGACTCCTTAAAGCCCATTTTGGGACAGTAGCTATGCCCGTGGGTTGTGAGAGCTGACAGTATCTCTGGCTTTCTTCCCTGTCAAGCTCTCTGTTGGCAGCTAAGGAAGATGAAAGGGATTTAAATGCAGTGCTTGAGGATGGATCCAGTCCAGAGCTTGCTAAAAGCTAACTCTTTTGTGTTTTTTGGACTCCTCATTTTCTCCACTCATTAAATACTTGAATGGCCAGATCTAAGCATATATCACTTCCACAGCTCTTTATGGACCAGGCAGAGGAAAATGGAGGTGAGAAGGAAACGTGAGGCTCTCACCTCATCACCGTGCCATTCGTTATGAAAGAGAGGAGCCACGTGTGTTTTGCAAGCAATCCTCAAGGTGGATAGACATTTCTTTGTAAGATTCTAACCCACTCTGGTTTTACAAAAGGATTTCTCACTTTACAGAACGTTCCCTTTGTGTAAAGATAACTCAAGCAGATTTTAATGCAAAGTTTGTTGGGGAAAACCCCTTTGAGGAAAAATTGGATTAAAAAAAGAGAAAAAAACAATGAAAGTGAGTAAAGGAAATAAGGATCCGGTGGGAAATGCTTGCTGGTTGATGTGATTTGGTTTGACTTTTATTTTTCCCCTCCACTCTGTATTTTCAGTGTAGAATTTTGCCTGTGGGTGAAAATGACTTATGACTTATTTTATGTTTTCATTTGGGGCTTGTTAATAGCCTCTTTTGATTACCTTTCATCATCTTTTTAAAAAGCCAGCCAACCACATGTCTTATACGTAAATATCCAGAGCTCCCACTTCATATGAGTGAGTAAGCTACAGCAGGGCAGGATCTACACCAGTTCCTGCCCCTCTAGAAGCTGACTTTCTTGTAACCTAGTCTGGTTCCAAGAACCACAGGCAGGTGAGAAAATTAGTCACTGCATCTAGGTGAGCTCTAATCCCAACACAGATACTTATAACTTTGTTGCCTTACAAAAATTACTTAACTGGCTGGGCACAGTGGCTTGTCCCTGTAATCTCAGCACTTCGGGAGGCTGAAGTGAGTGGATCACCTGAGGTCAGGCGTTCAAGACCAGCCTGACCAACATGATGAAACCCCATCTGTACTAAAAATACAAAAATTAGCTGGGCGTGGTGGTGGGTGCCTATAATCCCAGCTACTCGGGAGGCTGAGGCATGAGAATTGGTTGAACCTGGGAGGTGGAGGTTGCAGTGAGCGAAGATCACGCCACTATACTCCAGCCTGGGCGATAAGAATGAAACTCTGTCTCCAAAAAAAAAAAAAAAAAAAAATTACTTAACATCCCACAACCTTGGCATCTTCTATTTTTAGAGATATTTTGTGAGTGGAAGACTTTGTAGCCTTCAAATTATATTAAGTAGGTAAATAAACTCTTATTTTGTTTAAGATTATCCCTATGACCAGTGTAACCGTATCGTTTTCAAAATGACTGGGTTATTTGGGATTTGATGGGATAGTAATTTTTTATAGTTAACGGAGCTAAGTCCTGTTCTAGATATTCTCATTTATTCCTCCCAACTTTCCTATGAGGTAGATACTATTATTATCTCTTTTTTATAAGTGAGTAAAATAGATGTACAAAGAGGTTCAGAAACTTGCCTGAGGTCTCTGGGGCTCTTAGCAGCAGCAGAACTGGGAATGGAAACCCAGGTGTTCTGGCTCCAGAGGCTCTGCTCTCAGCATTGTTCTCTGAAACCTTCTTTAGAGCTGCAGTGTCTTCACCTTGAAGGGAGAACATTGTGTCTGGTAGACACACTTATCTAAGACTTTTTTTTCTTTCCCATTTTAGGTATCTGACAGCAAGCAGCAACAGAAATTTTCTGCTTACCATGAGGCCATTTTTAAAAAGGGCCATTTTGGTCCTAAGTTATGTAAGTATATATATATGCTTTTGAAATATGTGATAAGGAATGTTTTCACTCTATCTCAGCTCGGAGATGTAATTGAGATTATTTAATAGAATTGGTAATAGACTCTAACATCATGATCTTGGGATCAAACAGTTGGCATGCCTTAATGTAACAAAGCATCAAAAGGTATATATGAAAGCATTCCAGGTGTATGTGGATTTGATGGCATGGACAATGTAAATTGCAGTATTCTGTGAGTCCCTTTCAAGATGTTGAGACTGAGTTTTCTCAAGAGGAGGCAGTGAAAACCTGACTGTATCAGTTGTCTATTGATGCATCACAAACCACCCCAAGCTTTAGTAGCTTAAATATAACAGCCCTGTATTTGTCCTACCTGCTTTAGTTTGGGCAGCATTCAGCTTTTCGGTTCTTCTGATCATCCTGATTTGGGGTTGAGGTTACTCCATCAAGTTTATTCAGCTGTCATCTAAGCCAGGTCATCTCCATTCTCCTCTACATGATATCTCATCCCAGAGAGCCTCTCCCTGTGGCTTCTTATTCCAGAGGTGTAGTCAAGACTTCCTTGCAACATGGCAGCTGGTTTCTAAAAAAATGAACTAAAATTTGCTGGTCCTCTTAAAAATTAGGTCCAGAACTGATATAACATGCCTTCTTCTGTTGGTCAATACAAGCCACCCACAAGACTAACTCAGATTTAAGGGAAGGGGTGATTGACTTCATTCCTGGATAGAGGAACAGAGTGGACATGCAAAAAAGGTGATTATTGGTGGCAGTCTCACTGAATCTTCTTATTTTCTGAAGGTGCTTGTCATTTTGTACTTCCGTCTGTGGATAATGGGAGGATCTATGCCCCTCTTTTCAGAGCAGGATAATCCAGCTTCATTTTCGCCTTACATTCTTACAAGGTTAGTATAAATATTTTTTTAAAATTTTACTTGGTATTTATTAGATAATTTTGAGTAATCTTAAATTATAGGCTGACTTTGCATATTGAGGAAAGACTGATTGTGGTCTATCCTCCGCGTGAGGAGGAAAGAAACTCTACATTTGGAATTCTTTTCAATAGATGAAACTATTTGGGCAATATTATTGCTATTGTTTCCTTTGGTGTTTATTTGTTTATTCAACACATATTTTACTGGACAATGTCTTAGTTTATTTTCTGTTGCTATAAAGAAATACCTGAGGCTAGGTAATTTATAAAGAAAAGCATTTATTTGGCCCACTATTCTAATGGCTGGAAAGTTAAGATTAGACATCTGGTAAGGGCTCAGACTGATTCCATTCATGGCGAAAGATGATAGTGAGCTGACTATGTGCAGAGATCACATAGAGAGAGAGGAAGCAAGACAGAGCAGGGAGGTGCCAGGTTCTTTTTTAACAGCTGGCTCTCATGGGAACGAATAGAGCAAGGACTCACTCACCTCCAGTGGAGGACACTAACCTATTCATAAGGGTTCTGCCCACCTCACCCAAACACCTTCCACTAGGCCTTCAATGCTACCACACTGGAAATTACATTTCAATATAAGATTTGGTGGGGATAAGTAAACCATATCCAAGCTATAGCAGGCACTTACCAATAATAACAATCTATTGAGTGATCTATATGGCGAATGTTACAGAATAAGTGTAGAGAAGTGTACAAAAGTTGACTGGACATCATAACCATTTGTAAAATTAAGTAAATGGGGTGGTTGGAAGTGGCAAATAGAAATGAACAACAGTTTTTGCTAAGATGCACCTAATTATGCCATTTGTCCTTAAGAGTTCTGAGGGTTTGGGGTCAAGAAGTGATGCTGATCAGCAGCTCTGATTCACTGAATAGAATTTTAAGTCCTTAACTATTTGCTGTGATGCATAGCTGAGGCTTCCAGATATAATTATATTTGACAGTTTTAATAACTTCCTTTAGAATATATTATTGCTATAATATTTTAAGAATTAAGATGCCTTTCTTTCAGCTGGAACCACCATCTTCTAATAATTTGCTGTAATGAGGAACACAAAGGGAAAGAAGAAAGGCATCTGATATATGTTCTCTAAGCCTTTTAGAAAACATGGAGTTGTTCTTTTAGCCGTATACATGCAGATCTATAAGAAAGGTGATATTGTAGACATCAAGGAAATGGGTCCTGTTCGAAAAGGAAGGGTCCTGCAAATGTTTCCATGGCAAAACTGGAAGAGTCTATAATGTTACCCAGCCTGCTGTTGGCATTGTTATAAACAAACAAGTTCAGGGTAAGATTCTTGCCAGGAGAATTAATGTGCGTATTAAGCACTCTTAGAACTGAGATAGCTTCCTGAAATGCATGAAAGAAAATGATTAGAAGAAGGAAGCCAGAGAAGCACACTTTGTGAATCAGTGGAATGGCCCTGGCCTGCTGTAACCTATTTCCTGAGAAGTCATGGCATAATAGATGTAAAAGATAATAAATAAAAGACCTGTAGACTTTAAACAATTAAAAATATAAAAAATTAAGATGCACTCTTCTGAAATGTTCATAGTTTTACATACATTTAATGTTATCTAATATCATTTTCATGGTAGCAACCTTCACTTTTTTCTTGTATTTGCAGAAACATGATAAATCTTAAATCTTGATATATGGGTCATTTACATTTTAGTTTACCCATATCGCTTAGGGACAACAGATTGGTAGATTTCGGATTTTTTTGGTCATTTATTTTTTTGAGACGGAGTCTTGCTCTGTTGCCCAGGCTTGAGTGCAGTGGCATGATCTCGATGACTGCAAACTCCTTCTCCCTGCTTCAAGCAGTTCTCCTGCCTCAGCCTCCCAAGTAGCTGGGACTATAGGAACATGCCACCAAACCCAGCTAATTTTTGTATTTTTATCAGAGAGGGGTTGTCACCATGTTGGCCAGGCTGGTCTCGAACTTCTGACTTCAGGTGATCCACTTGCCTCAGTCTCCCAAAGTGCTGTGATTACAAGTATGAACCATCACTCCTGGCCTAGATTTTGTTTTTCTGCCTCGCAGTGATCTTTGCTTTATATCATTAATTAACTTCCATGATGGAAATAATAAATTTCTACTAATTTCTTTGCCTTGTATGCTTTTCTTTATTATTTCTAGTATTTTCTTCTCTTTCTTTATTATATTTATTTTTCATTTAAAAAGGATATCTTACAATTTGATTATCACATTTTTGTAATAAAACTATGTCACGATTGTTTTCATTATTTCCAACATGTGTTTGTATTAAATGAACCTTGAATATGCTCTCAGAAATAATGTGATATCCAACTTCTGGTGTTGGCTTACTTCTTCTCAGCAGTGTAGAACCTTTAGAAATTGTTGTTTATATCTTATGTTTAAAAATTCTTGTTTAATATGTTCTTTAATTAAGTTAGACTTCTCTAACCCAGCTTTCTGTTAATGTTACAATCTGCTCACCATTTTTAGGTATCTCTCCCTGGCCTTCAAAATCTCCAGAGCTCCTTGTGCAGATATTTTTATCTGTGCTAGCTCACTAAGGTATTGTCTTGTGTTCTATAGCTCCTTAAATAACTACCTTTGTCTTTAAGAGAAAAACCAACTTCGCAATATAGTCTTGCATAATGGTTCCATTTCCTTTAGCTTTGGGTTGGTTTCATTCCAAGACTTCTTATCTCCTGAATTTGAGCATTCATTCTTATCTTTGAGTTAGACATAGCCTGTTCCTTGAGCTTACCAGTCTCCAAACGCCAAGATGTACAGTTAAAAAGAGACAGGGAGGAGAACAAGAACATACTGCTGTCAACTCACCAACCAATTATTTTATTCCTATCTCATGTCATAAGTAAACAAGTGTGTGCCCCAAGGTCCTTGGTGTTAGGAAAAGTTGCCTTTGATATCTGACTCTCTGCTCTCCTAGCTGTAACATCTTAGGGACTAGGGGCATTAGCTAGTGGAAGTTTTTATCCCTGCTGGCAGGAAAAAAAAATTCTTTGGTGTGAAACTCATGGCAAAATTAGTACCTTGAGCTAGCCGTTTGCTAGATTCTGCCTTTCACTTCCAAGGTGTACACACACTTTTCAAAGGGATCTGCTACGTATTTTGTCCAGGACTTTCTGTCTGTGAATCAGTCCACCCAAGTGACTGTAACTCAGGCAGGCAGTTCAATTAATAAAAAGTGATGGAATAGAATATTCTAATACCCATATCTTTATATTCTTCCTTTCCTTTCTTTTGAAAAACATCTTTCTGTTCTTCTCTTTCAAATATAAAATATCAGCTTGGCCAAGATGGTGAAAACCCGTCTCCAATAAAAATATAAAGATTAGCCAGACATGGTGGTGGGTGCCTGTAATCTAAACTACCTGGGAGGCTGAGGCAGGAGAATTGCTTGTACCAGGGAGGTGGAGGTTGCAGTGAGCCGAGATCATGCCACTGCATTCCAACCTGGGCAACAGAGCAAGATGCTGTCTCAAACAACAACAACAACAACAAATATAAAATATGTAGATACCTAGATAAATTTCACTGACATTTGTCATGAATGGCTTTTCTCATTCCTCTGAGATGGCCACATTAGAACATCTAGAAAATGGTCTTTAATTCCTTTCCCAAGTAAAGTTTCTACTCAGCTGGCATAGTTCTTTGATGTCTGATAGGCTGGTGAAACTTGAAGT